TGAAGTTGTCATTTAAGAAGTTGTCGCTGAAGTTGTGTGGGAGCTGTTTTGGATTAATTTTGTTGGGATTTGTATTTTGATTATTTAGAAATTGTTCTTTTTGCTTGTATAAGAAGATGGTAATGTCAGTGTCTGGTTGTTGATTATGTAATTCTAGGAGAAGTTCTAAGTAAAAGGTATCCATAATATAAATTAACGAGAGGTTTGGAATTGGAGGTTCTATTGGAGATCTATTTTTTGATGATCCATTTCCTCCAATGTTGATTTCTAATTAAACTGTTGTGGTTTTTTAGGAAAAGTAACAAGATTTTCCATTGTTTTTATATTTCTTATCTTTTAATCTTGTCAATCTGGCACTAATGGATTCTAATATTGTTTGAATTGAGTTTCATGGATTTGATTCTATGGACATGTTGTGTTCGAATATTGCTGATTCAGTTGCGACTTGTTTGTTTTTCCCTTTTTTGTTTGTTTGAACCAGGTTGCTTTGAACTTTTTTCTATTTGATAGTTGAGGAGGAGCTTGCTATGTAGAAGTAATTATATTGCTTATCTTTTTTTAAGCTGAGCTTTTGGATTTGGGTTTTTAATACTTTGTTGATACGTTCAAATGTCTTTATATTATCTTTGGTGCTCCACCAGACTTTGCATCCAAACAGTTCCATATGTGCTAATAGGGCCTTATTGAGATCTTTTTGATTTTTGAATCCTATAATAGTGAAATTTCTTCTTTTGCCTGTTTTATTGTTGAGTGAAATATGTACTGTTTTGACCTTTAGGTGCTTTGTTGCACTCATTATTTATAAGGCAGATGTTGATTTTCAATACCATATAATTTGGTTGTAATTTCATTGCACTCCATAAGGATGTCCTAATGATTTTTTAATAGTGCTAGTCTTGCCATTAGGCTATCCAATGGGATTGACCAGATCTTCTTAAGGTTGGTTTCTGTGGATTGGAATACTACCATAGTACTATTGTAATTGTTGTTTTCCTTTGTGATGTTAAATGATTGAATTTTTTCATATTTACTAAGGACGTCTTATACTTTTTTGGGTAAAGTATATATTAGAATATCTATAAGTATGTATTGATCCAGTATTGGTTTGGTGGTTTCTGAACCTTCTGAACTTTTTGAAGCTGATGAGCTTTCTGATGGTGCTTCTTCATCTGGACTGACGTTCTTGGTAATATTTAAAATTATGTCTTGTAGTTATATGTGTTTTAATAGCTGTTGTTTACATCTATAAGCATCTGTTGTTTCATTGAAACCAAGACTTATCCATTTGTTTTTTCCTATTGCCAGAACTTGAATTCCCTTGTGTTCGATAAGTACTTGAAGCATGTTGGCTATTTCTTGTAATTGTTTTTCTCTGCTGGTCTGGGGGAGAGGGTTGTATCTAATTCGAAATTGTACTCTACCTTGTTTGTTAGTTAAATTGAATAAGTTAGAACTGTTGTGACTTTGATTTCCTTCTGGCATACTGTGTTTGATATTTTCTGTTTTCTTGCTAGCTTTGTTGTCTTGCTTGAGGTTTGGATCCTGTATTGCAATTAGTTCAAAATCCTCTTTGTTTTTGAACTTGCTGATGCATGCTGATCTGTTCTTTTCATGGTGAAAGTGGATTGTATACTATCCATTTCCATTGTAGAAGTATGGTTAAATTAGATTGTATTTGTTGGCGGGGAGCTTGAAGATGTTTGCAAGATACTTGATCTGTTCTTCCTGATTTTCTCCTGGTATGTTTGCTATTAGAGTTTCTGCTTTGTATGTCTCTTTTTTGTAAATATAGTGAGTGTTTGTTGGATGAAAGATTCTGTTTCTTGTTGTGTAGTCTTTCTTTGCTCTTATGTCTTCCAGTGGATTGGAAGTGAGTGTTAGCATATCAGAGTCTTCATCTGAGGGAGATTGCTCTTTCATAACTATTTCTGGGACATGTGTTTCCTGGTCTTCAATTATATTTTCAGAGGTCTGTTCATTTATAATAACTTCTGGTATTTGTTGTTCTTCATTTGCCTGCTTTATTATATCTTCTTGATTAATGTAATTTTCTGACATGTTTCCTTTACTCCTTTCAACTAACTCTTGTTGATAGTTGTGATTGTAATTTCTTGTTTTGGGTTGTCCTGAAGATAGTATGGTTTTTGGGTCTTTGTCTTGTACATATCGTGAGTATTGACCTGAATGTAGGATATCCACAATCTAGGACACTTGTTGTGAGTCTTTTAGTATATATCTGTTTAATATATTTATGTCTAGTTAATTAAACACCCAGATTTGTTTGATGTATTTTTTAGCCAACATCCATTTTACAGCTATATATGAATTGACATTGAGAAGTTTTGCCACTACTGCATTTATAACTGTGATGTTTACTATTGTTTCTAATTCTACTAGTTCTGATGTTGTATTTGTTGTACCATCTTCAATCAACATATGGAATCACCTTTGTTCTCCTTCATTATGATTGTCTTCAATTGTTTTGAGATGTTCTATTATTAGATTTTCTATTTGAATTGGGTTGGAGTCAGCCATTGTTTTGGACTTTTGCTAGGTTGACATATGTGAACTGACTTAATTTGCTGTTTGTTTAGTGCATGTTAATTTGCTTGAAACAGCTTATTGCGTGGTGTAGTTGTCCCTTTTTGATATATAGGATTGAAATTAACACATGTTATATCAAATTATTTGTGATCTGCTTATTTTGGTAAGTCCTGTTTGTATCTTGTTTCTTTGTTTGTAGTGATAGCGTGTTTGTACTATTGCAGATCTTGCTTTGGAAGTAAGTTAACTTTGGTAAACTTTAAATCTATTGGATACATGTGTTACGTTTTGAATTGCTGTGTTTGTTTGCTTAACAGTTGTTGATATTGTTTGGTTCTGAAAAGTACGTGTTCGCGTTACTGTTGATCTTTGGAAGGGGTAACCTGCCTTTGGTTTTTATCTTCACCAAAAATTTGATTGCGTAATGGATATTGTTTATCTTCAAAAAATATTGTGATCTATACTTTTCTTTTTAATTACAATAATAAGAAAGTCTTGGGGCCCTTCTGATTTTGTATTGGTATGCAAGGTTGCCTGGTTTACCAGATGTGATTTGACCAATACTAAGTCCTGCTGGTGTTTAGGGAAGTATCTAACCTGATGTATGACTGGCTAGCAGCTTGTGAAGTGTGGTACTAACTTTCTCTTTTTAATTTTACTGTGAATTGTATTTTTTGTTTTTTCTTCTTTCCCAGTGAGAAATCACAAGTATCTGTCTCTAAAATTAAAAAATAAAGAAATGTTAATATACTTTTTGAACCTATAGTATACCTGTTATGTTTGTCCTTCTTTATTTTCAAGAATATATTGTGAAGTTTTCCTTTGGATGTTCTCTTTAAGTGTTTCTTTGAATGTTTTTTTGAGTGTTTTGTAGTATTGCCAAAAAAAAAAATTTTTAAGAATTTGAAGATTTGTGGGAAAAAGTTTTTTTATTTTATTTATATAACAATTTATTATATGTAATAATATAATATAATATTAATATAAAGTTATATATTTTAATTGTAATTAATTCATTAATAAAATTCATGCATGTATCACAACTTAATCTTTAAAAAAAAAAAATAATAATAAAATAAAATCACATATAGTGACATTTGTCTAAATGTATATTGTATATTTGCATAATCTGTATTATTGTATAAAAATAGTTTGATTCCATGTTAGAACTTATAAATTATTTATATAACATAAATATATATATTCTATTAATTTTGATAAGGTTTCTTAATGCATATATACATATTTTACCATAAAATAAAAGATTAATAATACTAGAATATATATATTTTTTAAAAAAATATATATATTAATAATTTATTTATGATTTTAAACCATATAATAATTATTAATATAAGCAATATTTGAATAAAATATAAATTATTTTTTTATTTTTTTATTTTTTGTAAAAATTTTTTTAAAAATATTGTTATTAAAACTTTTAAAAATTTTATAACATTTGATAGATATTAATATATATTATCCCCATTTATCCTTATTTATCATTTTTTATTATATTTTTTATATAGTATCTTAATATTTTTTCCAAGAATTCTCAAAACGCCTATGTAATTTTGAACAGTGCTACAAATTCAGAGTGCTGTAGCTCAAAATACTAGTTATAAAACTTCTTTTCTGTTCTAAGTAACTATTTGCAAAAAGACTAGATAAACAATTTTATTAAGATTCCAAAAGCAATTAAGATAGTAATTTCTTAAATAATTTAGCATTTTCTGTTACGAACAGAAATTTTCTTTGATGATTGTAAATCATGATTTTAATACTAAAAGAAATATTTATATATAAACATATATAGACATATTCTGTTTAAATATATAAAAGTTTATTGGTCCTAACAGTATGCATTTAGATAAGTGCCATTGTATTTTTATATGTTTATTTTAAAAAAAAATAAAGTTACATATTTTTGTACATTTATTTTTTAAAAAAAATAAAGTTATATACAGTATCTTTACACATTTATTTTAAAAAAGAATAAAAAATACAAATAATATAATATTAATAAAAAAATATAAAATTTATCAATAAATATTAAAAACTGTTATATAAATATATAATTTAAATACTATAATTTCAAATACTATTTATTATAAAGATATTATTTAAAGTTAATTGGTTTTTAGTTGATATATAGTATATTTTAAATTTTTATCTTTAAAAATTAAAATTATTTATATAAATTCAAATTAAATATTTATATAAATTTTTCAAGAAGTTAAAATTAAAAATAAAAAATAGAAATTGTAATATTTTAATTATAAAAATATATTTATTAAATATTAATTTAAAATTAAAACCAATAATATATTATTTATTTAATTTAATTATACTGTATTATATTATTTTTTTATCTTATATAATATATAGCTTGTGAATCAAATCAAACTTTTAAAATTAACTTGAAATTAACTTATATTATAAAAATAAAACTCAAGCTAAATCTTTTGAGTTTTGTATCAAGCTAGCTTTAATTAATTTAATTTTTTTAGAACTTTAAAAGAAACACAATCTTAGAGCTTTTAATAATATTATTTTAATATTATTTTGATATTAATTTGATATTTAAATTTATTATAAATTGATTTTATTTTGATATCAGTTCAATATCAGTTTAATACTTTTCAGAGTTCTATATAATTTTTTTAATCTCAAATAATTAACAAATATTATTAACTTATATTTTATTTCATAAACATATTTTAAAACAAGTACCAAAGCAAAATATATAAACTGCAAATCTAACTAGTTTGAAAAAATTATTATATAACAACAAAATATAAATATTTATTTTTTCAAATTAACAATTAATATATTTATTATATGTAATCTGATAAATCAAAAAAATATTTATAAACACAAACATATTTTTACAATTATTAATTAAAGTATTTATATAAGCAAAATAAATAAACAAGTCAAAGTCTTGAATAATATATTCAAAGCCTGGTAATTCATATTGATAACTGATAACTTTTAATCAAAAAATATAAAATTTGTAACCTGGATATAGAAAGAAGAACAAACATATGCATTATCAAAATATAATTAAAAAAGGCAATAATATTACTAGTTAAAACAACAAAAAACAATTCAAAACTCTATAATTAAATAATAAAAAACTTTTTACAAATATAAATCTTGTTCAATTCAATTAAATAAATATATAATTGAAATAATTTGATAAAAAAAAATGAAATTTATATAAAAATTAACAATACTAACAATAAATTAATAACAAATATATTATATCTTAAAATATTAAAATTACACTATCAAATTTGATAAAAATTGAAACAAATTCAAAAAGAATTTATAAATAAAAGCTTACAGAAATATATACAAACAAATCCATGAAAAAAATTTAATAATAATCAAGTAAAAATGAAAATAAAGACTATAATTATCAATATAAAAAAATCAAAAAAATAGAATTTAAAAAAAAATACAAAGAATTTTTATTATTAATAAAAACAAAACCAATAATAATTCTAATAGTAATAATACTTCTTAATTCATATACTGAAACAATTATAATAACAAATAAATAAATAAATTTAGACAATACAATTAGAAATTCTATAAAAATAGAAAATAGCAAAAGAAATAAATAAATTTATAATAATTATTCTTTAAAAAAGATAAAAAATAAAATAGCAGCTATTAGACTAAGAAAAATCAAAGTAAATATAGGAAACAAATATAATAAATGTGTAAATAAACTAGCAAAAGAAGGCAAAAAGCTAGATTATATATATATAATAAGCATAAACTGTTAATATATAAAAGAAATAATAGAAATACTTTAATGAAATAGCAAAACCTTATATATAAGAATTAATAAATTTATGAAACAATAGTAAAATAGAAAATGAATCAATACAGGAGCAATATAAAGAATCCACAAAATATAACTTAGAACAAGAGATAAAAAATAATAAATTGAAACAAAATGTAGGCAAACTTATTACTATTAAGAATTACAAGTTTTATATCAATTAAAAAAATTACAACAATAAAGTATTGAATAAAAGAAAATCAAATATATACAAAGACAAAATATGTTCTTGATATAAGAAATAAGAAATCACAAAACATATTTTTAGCAAACATTATAGAAACAAGATTAAAACATATATTTGCAAGTGTTAAAAAAGAAAATATATAACAAAATAAAAAAACAATCAATTAAAAAAAACAATTCAAACATTATCAATGATTTTGAAAGAATTATCAAATATATAATTAAGGAAATCTATGAAAAGAATCTAATCAACCTAGTAAAACAAATCAATAAACCAAAAAATCAAAAATATATTGAGAACAGTCACAAGCCAAATAACAAAGAAGCTTTAAAAACTTTGAAACCATAAATGTACAAGATTTCAACAATGGAAAAAAAAGAAAAATACAAGCAAAAAGGAAAAAAGAAAAAAAAGAAAAGAATAACAGGTTGATACTTAATTCAAGAATACAGTGCAATATAAATCTCTATCAAAAAGAATAAAGGAAACAAAAAGATTGCAACAGAAACTTAAATAACTGGCTAGGTCAGAAAAAAAATATTAATTTTTATTATTCATATAATAATAACACTAATATAGCCTTGGCACATGCTAAAAGGTAAGTCAATAGCAACAAGTCAATATAGAATTACCTCAATATAGTATAACATGCATCTAGAATAGTTTATAGATAGTAAAACACAATTTAGTAAGTTATAAAAAATAATGTAATTTATTGCAGACACATATACCCATATTTAGAAACATAATGGCTTCACCTGGGCCTCCCTTATTTTTGAAATTGTTGGTTAATCGATTTCCTGACCCTTAACTGAACTTTCAATCTATCCTTTTTTCGTTGTAATGGTGTGCAACCCAGTGGCTTAAACTCAGAATTTAATATTGGTACATTATCCACCGTACAAGATCCGGTCTTATCTTTGAGTTAGCATTGGCACGGTTTAATTTAAGTTTGTAATCTTTTTCGGATTTATTAAACGAACGAGAAATCGGATAAATAAAAATATTGCAGTGCTCTTCCTCGAACAACTTCGATGGAGCAACATCTGGAATACAACAATACCTTTAATGTGTGTTAAAGAATTTATGTACATAAGACACAAACTCATGGATGATAAACAGTTATATATTATAAACGAGTAAACTTACAAATCATTAAGCATGAGTGCAACCATCTTATTCAACTCTGTCTTTCCACGTTCCATAAAGACATCTCCACCAATCAAATGTTTACTGGCTGTATCACGAAGAGAAGATGAAATTTCCGCTGGAAGTGATGGTTCGCTCATGGTATAAGGATTGGTTTTCGTTATATCTTTCCATTCTTTACTCGTGAACATAGGATATGGAAATGGCCAGCAGAGCACCATGATTGACGATAAGGCTCTAAATGCAATTATATCAATATCGTTGTGCTAGTCAAATGCTACATATTTCAGAATACTTACAAGAGTTCGTAAACATTCTCATATTTAAAACCCTGTCTCACCGCCTTCTGGAAGACATCTTTCTGATATTTCCGAAATCTACCGGTTATATCAATACTGCCAACTTCCCACTAAAAAACAGAAGCAAGCTATGAGATACTCGAAATAAAGAAATCAGTATTTGACATTTGACATACTTTAACTGTTGGTTCGCGATTTAGTTCCATTGAAACGTTCACTAGATCAAATTTAATTTCTTCATCGGCTTCAGGCTCTTTAGTTTTCACATCATTAGAATTAGGAATAGTGGATGTTCGTTGTACGTTCGTAGAGGGAAAGGGGGCTCAGAGGAAGACTTTGTTGCATTAAATTTTTCATCTAATTTCGTCTAAATCACAGAAAACACCAATAAGTTATCAGTTGCTTAAAGTCATTAATATGCATTGAAGAGTTACTATACTCGATCTCACCCTTTTCGTTGGTATTGTTGATGTTTCTTCTTCAATACTTGGAATCTATATTCTCGTTTGGGTCTTACTTGAATATTATTGCCAATGCAACCAATCTGTACTCCATCGCAAGATAAAAATGTACTGTTGACCTTCATCTTTTCATGTCTCGTAAAATCGTTATTATATTTCAACCAAAAATTGTGGATTCGTCCTGTTGTCCTAGATTCAGTCTTACAAAAATAATTTTTATTAATAAAGGTTATCCAAAAAACTGCAAATTAACAAGTCGCAGATTAGCAAGTCACAAGCTGGCTACGGCGGAGACGCAGTCCATAACCATGAGAAGACGCAGTTCCATGGATTAGCCGTAACCAACAGCGGAGACGCAGTCCATAACCATGAGAAGACGCAGTTCCATGGGTAGCTGTAGTATTGGAATACGAATAATGGAGACGAAATGGGGGCTACTGAATGTGACAAGCTAATCTGCAGTTATATAATATATCGACATTGACTTGACCTTCGAGACATTCTGCATCTCCTCTGTAATTGCTTGTTGAAACTTCTTGTTATAGTTGCCTTATTCAAATTGCAATCTTTTAATGCCTCAAGATAATTATCCATGTCCCAGTCTTGGCAAAGAGTATTCAGAAAATATTTGAATCCAGGTCCAGACTCTTTGATATTAGATAGCATGGTTTATAGTAAGAAAGTTTAGGTTAGACATTAGTTATGTAATAAAATAGATCTGGTTTTCAATCACGTGGACTAGTCATGCACTCTCACTGATACGTGATCATTCTCGACTCATGATATCGGATCGATTTAAAACCAATCCATTAACGTTATCTCTGTCAAGAAACGTTAAAAAATCGAGAGGTAGTTCAGGTATCTCGAGAGAATTATTACTAGACGATTTCGCTTTCCAAATTAATGTCTCAATAAGTAGATCTTTTGTTGAAATTTCCTGCTGAGTTTTTGTTTCTTTAGACGGTTTACGATCTGAGGGAAACAGATGGAAGCTTATTCATTCATTCTCTAAATAATCAATCTTATCACGAGTACAAAGATCACAAGTTGCATTCTGAGTTCGATGCTTGATTATAATGTAATAGTTTTTCGTAAGTTAAAGGTTTATCGCTAAGTGAATTATTGATAAAAACGACCACAAAGTGGCTAAGCAATTGGATTTTTATTTTGCAGAACAAATGAAGTTGCAATTGCAAGAATACGGGGTTATTTAATGACTTCATCCTGGTCCATAACTCATATAAATGTTAAAACAATGCATCTTATTATACAAAAATAATCAAGTGCAGTGTTACATAGAGGCACCTGAAATAATATATACTTGGTGGGAGTCCCAACTATACATGTGGTATAAATTATTTGATATTGACTCAATTTCCAAAATCCTCAAAAATAATTACATCATGACTCAATTATTTATATGTTTTAATAGTGACTTAATTAATTGTGTCAAATAATTGTATCAATTATATCAATTTCAGCAACATGTATAGTTCCAACTAATTAAATATTATCTAAATCCAATTTGATTTAATCCTTAAACATATGATTTAAATCTGAATCAAATTTGATTTAGATTCAATTCAATTCAATTCAATTTGAATTAATTTATTTATATTTAAAATTAACTTAGAATAATTTAATTAAATAATTTTTAATTAATATCTTTTTTAACAATATTTTATTTTTAAAACAATTTTTTTATTAATATTATTTATTTTTATTTTATTTAAAAATATATACAATTGTTATATGTTTGTTTATTTTATTATTTTAAAATATCAATGTAAATTTAAAATTTTTTATTAAATATTAATTGCTAATTCTAAATTTTTATTGAAACATTATCAATATTCTATAAATAATTTCAAGTATTAATTACTATTAGGATTATAACAAATTAAATCAAATTAGATTTTAACTAAATTCAATTCAATTCAATTTTTAGATATATAATATAAATTCAAGTTGAATTTAGTATAGCTTGATTTGATTTGAATTAATTTGTATCTAATTTAATTTTATTTAATTTTATTTAATTTATAGTTAATTAATTTCATTTAATATATGTATATAATTTTGATATAATACTTTAAAATACAAATATCAAAACAAAGTACTAAAATAAAAATTTAATTAAATCTATATAATATAATAAGATTATGGTAGTATTATATAGTATATTATTTATAAAGCTATACTAATTTATAAAATTAACAAAAAATTATAAAATTAGCAAAAAATTATAATTAATTTTAATTTATAAATTAAAATCTTTTTTTAACTAGTAAAAATTTATTTAATAGATATTAATTCAATTTCATATAAAGGTAGTTAAATGAAATTATTTTTTTTTTTTGGGGGGGGTTTCCCCAGTAGGTAAACATCATTTCTTTATTTTGGTTTGTATATAATAAAGTATACATCGTTGAAAGAAA